ATCATATCGTTTCCTTACACTTGGCAATAAATTATATACTCTGTGACTAGACATATTTCTACTGATACTAAGTCTTTGTTTGTTTTACTTATTTTATTCGACTCCTTATTTAAAGAACACAATCATGCCATTTATCATAAAGAAGGAGCCCGTGTGTCTGATAAGAGCACATGGTGGGGGAGGAACAAAAAGGGATGGAGAGGGAGGGGAGGACATCCAAGCCCCGAGGACGATACTCCTCCTTGGAGCAGACAGCTTGCACGGAGAGGACCATAAGGCCAACCCCACCACGAGAACCAACATCCCTGACTAAACTATAGCACTGCGGGGACAACACTGGAGATACAGTGCAGGTATGGTGCCCAATCTGAGCCCATTGTGCTGGGGCAAAAGACTAAGGACATGCAACAGAGCAGCAAGGGGAGCAAAGTGATGAAATCCCCAGGCAATACCAACAATAAACTTTGGAGACAGAGGGGCACCCCAGCAGGCTCAACTGGAAAACACTCATAAAGGCCAACAAACAGACCTTGAACTATTTACAGGCTTTTCCATTTTTGTCAGTGGCTTTCTTTTGTTGTTGCTGTTTTGTTATTGTTTTGTTGGTCTTGACTTCCTTTGTTGTTTTATTTGGCTTTGCCTGGTTTTAGTGCTTATTAATGTATCTGCATGTCTATCTAGATAATATAGTTGGGATAAATAATTCAGAGATGAACAGAATGGGACCAATGATTCCGGGAGGGAGAAAGGAAGGTGGGAGAAAGGAAGTGATGGGGTGGGGGGACCAACGCAGCAACAAGGGAACAACAGTGAACTAAAATCAATGGAGAGAAGGGCGTAGGATACCTAGTTGGGCTTAATCAAGGGCAATGTAGCAGTGAGGAATTACTAAACCCGAATGAAGGCCGAACATGATGGTGGGAAGGAAATAGAGGAAAGAATCAGGAGGCAAAGGGCATTTACAGAGGTCTAAATACAGGCATGTACATATATAAATATATATATTATATATATATAATGAGATGGGAATAAAACTATGTACTCATATCTATATGTTAAGAATTAAGGTTGCAGATGGACATTGGGCTTCTATTCAAGTCCTTTCTCAACACAAGAATACTTTGATCTAACAATCGGCATTCTGTAATGCTCACTTACCTGACATGATTGCTGAAAACAAAATGGGTGCATAAGCAAATGTGGTGAAGAAAGGTGATGGTGCCCAGCTATCAAAAGATATAGTGTCTGGGGTCTAAAAGGCTTGAAGATAAACAAGCAGCCATCCAGCTGAGAAGCAAAAAAGTCCACATGAAGAAGCACACCAGCCTGTGTGATCATGAGGTGTCAATGGGATCAGGTACCAGGCATGTAAGACCCAGAACAAAATCATACCCAATATCAATGGGGGGAGGGGGTTTGTAGTGGAGACCCAATGCCCATCTGTAGACAATTGGACATTCCCTCATAGAGCAGTCACAGGGAAGGGATGAGCCAGTCAGGGTGCAGTATAGGACCGAAAAAAATGCTCAACTTTACTCTAGTTCTTTGGTGCTTCCTTCCCCACTATCATAACCTCCATTCTACCTTACAAATCGGATTAGACCAGAACATGCACACTGCTACAGATAAGAGCCCACAACACAGAGAATCAGGATAGATAAACCCCTCGGGGCCCACAATGAGAGTAGAGATACCAAGAGGATTAGGGGGGGTGGGGGGGCAGCGGAGAAAGGGGCAATTGATCGCAAGGATCAACTTATAACTCCTTCCCAGAGGAACGAACAATGGAAAAGTGCGTGAGGGGCAACGGAGGATGATGTAAGATATGAAAATAATAGTCTATAACTCATCAAGGGTTCATGAGAGAGGGCGGGCGGGGGAGGGAAGGGGAAGAAATAGGGAGCTGATATCAGGGGCTTAAGTGGGAAGAGAATGCTTTGAAAATGATGATGGCAGCATATGTGCAAATGTGCTTGACACACTGGATGAATGTATGGATTGTGGTAAGAGATGTAAGAGCTCCCAATGAAAGCACTTTTTTTTTAAACAAAAACTAATTTAGTGTAATGTAAGAAACCTTAAAAAAGAAGAAGAAGAAGGAGCCCTGATGGTTCGATGGTTAAAGTGCTTGACTGCTCACTGGAAACTCAGTGGTTCAAACCCACTGGCTGTTGTATAAGAGAACGATGTGGCAGTTTGTTGCTGTGAAGATGTATAGACTTGGAAACCATAGTAGGCAGCTCCCCTCTGTCCTACAGCATTGACCTGAGTTGGAATTAATCCAACAATAGTACATTTGGTTTTGACTGCTATTGGAATACAAAATTGCATACATTAAAGACAAAAGCAAAAACAATGAAACTTGAAATGATATTTTAAAAAAACTCATGCTGTAACTTACAGATTTTCAAGGCATGAGCCATAGGCTGTATTTAAGTTTTGTAATGGTCCTTGGAAGCAGTTTTATTCTTTGTACAACACCAGTCAACATTTTCTCCTCACTGTTCCAATAAAGAATGAACAATTTCCTGAATATTTTCAGAATTAACCACCCCGGGGTGGAGGGGCTCAAAAGAGTGTTTTATTTTCCCATTATTATATTGTGCTTAAAAATAAGCCGCTGACATGATTATACAACTTCATATTTTATGAATGAAGGATGAGTAGGACCAGGAAACCAGATCATTGCTGATTTGGATGAATCACGTGATTTACTTAGAGCTAATTATAAGGTTGAATGGCTTACGTGTGTCTTAACTGTATTTTGATAGACATTTGGTGGTTGAGTCAATTTCAGTGTAACTGGTGTCACATCCTTGTGCAAACATTTAGAAATTCAGTTGGTCCTTGTCATCGTTTCATAGTTTCATGTCAACTTGAAGACAGATCAAAGTGTAAGGGTGGTGTTTAGTGTGTCAACCAAGTCACAGCCTGACGGTGACATCATGTGGATGTGGCCTTCTCATAAGTAAGGCCTGGGAACTTCCCTCTCTCTTGTCCTTCCTGCTGGCTGCCCCTGACTGCTGCCAGAGCCCTGTGATAAACGGCTCCATTGGATCCACACAACTTTGTACCCACCAGCCAGTGATGTTCCTGCATTCTGCATCATTGTATGTAGTTTCGTGAGTCTGAACAGGGATTTATGGACTAGTATCCGACTTATCGACTTGATTTGGAGAGGGTTGGAATGTTTTCTTGATATACAATTAATTCTTGATATAAAGTTCTTTTTTGCACATATATAAATTACTTGGATTTGTTTCTCTAGTCCACCTGACCTAACACAGTCCTACAAAGCTATTTTAAGGATTTGAATCCTCCCTGCACCCCACACACACACTGAGCACAGATTCAATTTTGTGTCTATTGTCACTCTCCATTTCTTAACTTGTCATTATCCTCAATTTGTCTCCATTTAGAACTCTATTGGAACTGCCAGATATATCTTAGACTGCTAACCACAAGGCTAGTGATTCAACTCTACTAGATACTCAGTGAGAGACAGATGAGATATTTGGCTTCAGTAAAGATTTACTGCCCTGGAAATCTTATGTATGAGTTGGAATTGGTCATTCAGCAGTGAGTTTATTTGATTTGAGAATAAGCTGATTTCTAAAACAAAGTCTTTATGAAAGATTAAAAAAATAAAATGTATCCACTAGCAGAAGACAATGTTAAAATCCTAATTCTGCAATTATTAATTGTGGGAACTTGAAGCAATTTATTGAACTTCACCAATCCTCTCTTTCCTTATCAATATATTAAAATTGAATTGAAAGCCAGTTTTATTTTTCTAAGGCAAAAACATATGAACAATTAGTACATCAAATACCTAGAAGTGAGCAGAGATGCCCAAATAATCAATTTTATCCACATTTAAGGGAGACAATCCTGTATGATAGGCATTTTGATTTGAGTTCCAAGGAAAGAGGAGAATAAATGTTTTTCAATGCAATGCATTTGGCAATGCCCGGCACTTACTTGATTCTGAAACGAACAAACAAGTGTATAAATAAAGCTCTTTTCCTCTGGAAGTTCATAATATATTAAGAGAAAAAAAGAAATAATCAATGCACATTATGAGCACTACAGTGTTACAGGTATTGCTTCACAGGTAGGAGGACATTCACTGAATATTTATGGTCTATTACATGATGTTACATAGTGGCAATCGTTGGTAGCTAAGAGGCTTCACAAAGAGCCCTTTGCCTTCATGACCATATTTCTTTTCATATTGTTATGCTCAGAAATTTAGAGGCCCACAGTTGTTGAGACTTGGGATTCTGTGTAGCACTAACAAAATCCACAAATTACAGTAACCAGAAATTGAAATGGTCAATTGCCAGTCTCTCTGACCCACCTCCACATTCCCTAAAAGGCATTTTTCAGGAGAATTTGGCATTCATAATAATTTTCTAACTGTAGGTAATCACTCAGATTATCCCATCATTTGAGTAATATTTCATCAAGACAAAGCCATATGGTAACACGATTCAAGTGCAGTGTGCCGCCAGCTTCTAGCTGTTGAATAGTGAGCTGAATCCCCGGTGAACTAGACATAAGGATTAGGCCTAAGAAACTCTCACTTCTATGGACAGAGTCTGACGACGTTTCCTCTGAAATCTCTCTGTTTGCTTCCATTGTTGACCAGTTCTGATCTAGTTCTTCCATTGGTGGGTGCTCCTATTGTGAAGCCAGCCCGGCTCACAGTAACCTAGTATAACACAACAAAACATTGTCCGGTCCTGTGTGGCGCCCAGTGTTGTGGCCACTGTACACATCCATTTCAGTGAAGATTGTCCTCTTGATCTTTGGCCCTCTATCTTACCAAACTTGATAGCCTTATGCTTTATTTAAATACATTAATATCTTCAGTTAGATAGTTAAGTTAACCAAATAGATCCTCTCTTAAAGCTTCTTTTCATAGATAGTGTTTATTTGGGGGGAGAATACACTTATGCATACCCTTTATTCTTTGTCACGTTTTATTTTCTTTACAGGTACATGTCTACTTTATATTCTGACCCTGATTTTCCAGAAAAAGGGCTAGAGGAGATTAATGAAGAGCTAATGAAAAATGTTAGCCACAATCCCCTTTTACTTCTCACACCGCAGAAGATTAAAAGATATGTTGAGTCTTTGTGGAAGAAGAAAAGCTCTGGGCAACCTGTCACCTTTACTGATATATTTGGAATGTTAATAGGAGAAACACTAATTCACAATGTAAGCTACAGTCAAATCTATAATTCTTTCAAGTAAACAATGTATGTCATGTTTTAAGTGAAAGAAAGTATGATACATTTTATGAAAATCCCTTGACTCAGTTTATACTTTCCACAATGTGTACTGAACTTTTACTTTATCCATATATTATAGCTACATTTACATCTCAAACTCATGCTTATAAATCCCCTTAATCTACTTGCTAGTTTCAACGTGTGGGGAAGGCATTTGCTTGCTTTTCCTTTGGAAAATGCAAGGATTACCCTGTGACTCCTGTTAGTTGCCACCCACCCATCTTTCTAGGTGAGGAAGTGAATACAGGAAGTATTTGTGATGTAGAGGAAGAATGCAAATTACCCAGAGAGTAAGTTAGAAAAGGAAGTGGGTCCCTTGGAGCCAATCCACTTCACACGTGACTGCAAGGTGATATTTCTATTGAAGATGAAGTCTGGAGACAGGGCAGACTCTATCTGTGTCCAGGAGTCTGTCCTGCAGCTAATTTCGGGGTTTCTTCTGCACTTGTCCAATCTTTCTCCTGTCAAATGTTGCTATGATCCATAGAGGTATGGTTGCTTTGAAAATGGAGATAATTATGTTCATAGAGCCCACTTTTTGTGGCTTACTTAGGACACCGAAGTTTCTAGAAGTAATAAGACTTAGTGCTTTAAACAAAGAAATACATTAATCAAAATATTTCACTTTTATTATAAAATATTGTTTTCACAAATGCTGAAGTTGAAATATGAATTTATATTAAACTTTCTATATGTATCTCTTCGTGAATTTAAAATGTGTGCTTCTTCTATGGACAGAGAATGACCACTACATTAAGTAGTTTGAAAGAAAAAGTCGATGGTGCCCAGTGCCCTCTACCTCTTTTTACCTGTCTCCATGTCAAACCCGATGTTTCCGAATTGATGTTTGCAGGTAGGTAACGCTCACCTTTCCGAACAGTTCCTAGAATCTTCCAAAAGTGGCATCCACTTTTTTAATTGTAATGAACAATTTAAGTTGCTTAGTTTAATATATTTTCTGTCTCATAAGAATATTTGAAAAGTTTAGAACCTATTAAGCTAAATAGATTTTCTGGTTATAGAGAATAGTCCAAAAACAGTAAGTCATGTTCTTCTTAGTGATAGAAAATTCTATAAAAACATGCATCTAATCAATGTTTGCCCATTTCCTACTAACTTTTAACAAAATATAAGAAACCCTTGTGATTTAGTGGATAATGCTTTGACCTTGGACGGCAAGGTCAGCAGTTGAAACTCACCAGTAGTTCCCTGGGAGAAAGACCAGGTTTTCTGCTCCTGTAAAGATTTCTAGTCTTGGAAACCCAAAGAGAAGTTCTACGCTGTCAGAATTGACTCTGTAGCAGTGAGTTTCGTTTTGATTTTAGCAAAATATCTCTAAGCCTTTCAGACAAACTCTATTCTTTTGTTTGTTTGTTACATTTTCATTAAACTGGGTCATGTGAATATATTTAGCATTCAAAGCACTGTTCTAATTTTGATAGTTCAGAGCCTAGAAAATACTAGTCTATCGTAGTTTTTGGTACTCAGGAAACAAAATGCCTCCACGTTTTTGCTTATTAAATGTCAGAGGTAAACAATTGTTTATTCCACTGTTGCTCTCATCATCTAATGTTCTGGCAAGGTGTGACATCATACCTAACCTCTACCACTCCCACCCAGCACTATGGCAGGCCTTCGACTGAGGCTGGTGGGGTCATTGCGGTTTTAGAACACTTATTTCAGTAACACTAGTCACTCTTTGAACTGAAGAAAATCATCGTGAGTGGTGTGTGTGTGTGTGTGTGTGTGTGTGATGGTAATAAACAGATTTGTATCCAGAACAGATTTATATCCAGATTCTGTTTGGAATTTTATGAGATCTCACTTTTTGACCTCAACCGATTATGCTCAGTCAAGAATTTGGCACAGTTTATGGAAAGGATGCACATGTTGCTCACCCAAGTCATTCACCAAACATTGGTTAATAGTAAACTCACTACCATGGAGGCAATGCCAACTCATAGACTGTAGGACAGGGTAGAACTGCTTCTGTGAGTTTCCAGAGGTGTAAGTGTTTACGAGAGTTCAAAGCTATGCCTGTTCTCCTGTGGAGGGACCGGTGGTTTGAAACTCCCAACCTTGCAGATCTCTGTCCCACACGTAACGACTATATTAACTCTAATTCTTGTCTTTATGATTCACGAAGCTATTAATACACATAAACCTTATTCGGTTTTTATAAAAATTTAGGAGCTAGGTACTTTTTATGCTCTGATTTACAAAACAAACATAAAGATTGAGTTATTTGCACTAGAGAATAAATAACAGACCTTTGCTCATTTTATAACACCATAATGACTGTTCTGATGCACTAAATGACCATTTAGAATGCAGTATGTCAGGTGCAAAGTCTGAAAGCCTTTTTTATATAGAATATATAATCCTTGTTCTATAGGACCTAATAACCTGTTTGGGAAATTTATTATAATTGTTTTAAAAATTAAGGTGTCAGAGCATGCAAAACTGTTGCTTTGCACTGGAACCTTGACAGATAGTCTCCTTTAGCCCTGATTACCTCATTTATTAACTGAGACTGTGACTCTACTTATAGTATTTTATTAAATATATGAGATACAGTGTGCATCGTGCTTAAATTAGTAGTAATCTATAATTAAGTTGTCAGTAAATGTAAAAGCTTAGAGTATTCTATACGATTTATGTGGGAAAGGTAGGAAGTCTGGAACCTAAAGATGAAATATATATTTCATAATCTGCATACATACACATGATGAAAAAATATATGTGTGTATATGTGAAAGAAGAACTTAATTATTGGGTTGCGAGTGGGTGAAACATGTAGTAAGAGGCTCTCATCATTGCGGCGTGCTCAGCAAGGTAAGGAACCAGAGCGACCTGCAATGGAGTTCAGAGTGGAAAGCTGACACTTTATTATACAAAGCGCAAGGACCCGGGAAAATAATGCTTCTCCTTCTTCTTCTGTGCCTGCCTCCTTTACCCCTCTCCTTCCCCTAACCTATCTATCAACTCTATCTATTTACCGATCTAGCATCTTTCTTCTTTCATTTTTGAATTGACTGATAAATATGTTCAGCCTGCTAGTCAATCTATTCATGGCCAATTAGATTGCCTTTCATTCTGGAAGCCTTGTGATGATTTTTGCTGTCAAATGAATCCCATCTTAGTGACCCCACCGGACAGAGTAGAGCTGCCTCACAGTGTTTCTTGGGCTGTAGTCTTCATGGGAGCCAACAGCAAGGATTTCTCCCATTGAGTTGCTAGTGGATTCAAAGCACTACTTTTCAGTTAAAGTGAAGCAACTGAGTGCTTCGCTGCGGTGCCACCATCACGCCTTCTGAAAGCATTATGATAGAGTTAAAGTGCACTGAGTCTAACTTGGAAGGCTCCTCTCACTAACTAGCTAAACTACCTGTGCGACTTGTTTAAGGTTCACTCTATGATTTCATGCTGTTTTGAGCTGTCTAGTTGATTGCAGTTGATAGCAATTCTCCAGGACAGAGTCGAATGCTCTAGCGAGGATCTCCTATGCTGGGGGCCTTTATGAGGCAGACTGCCAGGTGCTTTCTCCCACGGAGCTGCTGTGGGATTTACCCAGCTCGACTTTCCATTGTGCCACCAGGGCTCCTTGTCCGTATTGTTAAAGAAGGATGATCATTCCCGAATTTTATCTTAAAGAGTTTGTTCTTGATAGTTACATCAGGTATGCCAAAAGCTGGAAATGGGAGCAATATAAAATATAATCGTTTTATTATAACTTCTATGCATTTTCACACTGGCTACTTCTTGTTCTGAATTTTTTAGCTCACAGCCATTCCCAGGAGAAAGTTTGATTAAATAATTAAGGAGTAAATGATGCATTAGAATGACCTAAATGATGGAAAGGCTATTTCATTTTTAGTGTATTACATCTGTCTTGATGTGCCTGTGCTGACCATCTGTCTAACTGTGATGTTGTTGCTAAAAGAAAGCATCATTGACCTTCTTTCTGTTATAAGGAAGTCTGACATTCACAGATGTTTGCCATGAGAATTCAAATAGCTTAATTTGAATGCCTGAAAGGGGTGGAGGAAAGGACAGAGACATAGTTGTGTTTTATTGCTCTGAAATTTGCTTATTGAAAATTACTATTCAGAAAAACAAGTTGAAATATTTTCTGAATTACATTAGATAAAGTCAAATTATTGAATTACCTTAGTTTACAAAACTTTTATTGACACTCCTTGCACAGAGAGCATTATTTCTCTTTAAGACTCTTTTTGAACTCTCACAAGGGTAAAACAAGTACACAGCTATTTAAATAATTAGAAATCTCTGAAAACTCTATTGCACTGTTTTTTTCTGACAGAATTTTATATTTTTAAAATATATGTTCATTAAAACTGTGTGTATGTATATAAATCTATGTTGATCAGTACATGGCATTTAATGAACACTACTGTAGAATCCGCATCATGATAAGTCCTTTGAGTCCTGGGGTCTTGTGAAGAACAAGTCACATATTTAGGGACACTTTTGTGTCCAAACTGCACAAAAGCTTTAGAAAGAATTCTAGAAAGAAATGTTTTGCTTAATTTTCAGAAAATGAAAGAAATAAAATTATTTAAGTAATATTTTGGGGGAAAATCCACCTTTGATGACACATAGATGCAAAAGAAAGGAATTAGAAGTGGGAATATTACTGTCATTTTACTAATAAAGTTCAGAAATGAGGGAGTGACTGATAAACAGTAGAAAGAAATAGATGTAAACCGCCTATTAGTTGCCATGTGATAAAGGTTTTAGTGTCACCGGCTAAAAAAGCTGTTCCAGTATAAAACAAAACTCAATGTGTCTGAGCTGTAACAGTATGGTTTCAGAAATATTAAGGAAGACTGTGGGAAAGGGTGTTGCATTTTTTTCCAGGTCAGTAGAGTGGGAAGTGATGACAACATTTCTGAGCATGAAAGTCCAACAGGAAGTCGGCAATCTGCAGGTGGAGGTTCGGAGAGCCCTCCAAGTTTGAGATGTATGAATCAGAAGAATGGAAAAAAAGTCAAACGCAGTTCTTGTAAATTTTTCAACAAGGACCAGAAAGTGAATCTTAGCTCTTGAGAGTACCTATAATTAGTGTGCATAATATTAACCAAGAAGGTATAGCTGGAAAATAGGAACTACTATATTGTCATGATTCCTACTCAAAATAGGGGGCATGGAATTTAAAGACAGGCAATTGCTAGGAATGATAAACGCATTTTCCTAATGCCCTCTGATTCATTGCGAGTCCAGTTTCACTAAGTTCATGAAAATCATTGGAACATACTGCTTTCTGATGAAGAGTTATGTTCCATTTTAGTCATTGATTTGAGTTGGATGACAATATTGATAAGATAACATTTTAATTTCATCACGTCATGAATGTATAATATTTTGATTTATCATTGAATGTACAATGCAAATAAATTTGTATTTCTTTTCCCCAAATTTACAGAGACAGGTATATTCTAGAGTTCAGGATTTTTAGACTTAAAAGTTAGTAGTTTTTATACAGTGGATTAAGGTGAGATCTCACAATCAAGCAGTGATATTTCTCTTGTAGAATGTACCAATAGTCAACTTGAATGCAATTGATAAGGAACAAAAAGTTCCCTATATCATTCCAAGGCTGGTTTTTTTAATGAATTCAGCTCAGATTTTGTCAATGACTTAATAAAATAGCCTGTAGATTTTAAAGATTTTTCTTGTGTTTGTATTGTTGGATAATAGGTGTAGATGTAATAATTTCATAAAGGAATAAACCAAAAAATATACATAACACAGGAGAGATGGCTATGGGTTGAGCAGGAGTGGGTGTTGATAAGACTTATTTAGAGGGGATGGTTAACAAGGACCATAAGC